CCGCGAGTAGAGCCTGTTTTATGAAGTTCTCCTCCCCCGATCCAGTCCTGGCGATCTCCTGTGGCAAGAAGCCGCCTCCAAACTCTCCCCTGTGGACTTCGGCGTGGCATCCGATCCGGGGAGCGCGCGCTCAGGTCGGTCCCTCCCCTCCGATGCTGACCCAGCGCTGCGCTCCGCTGCGTTCGAAATGGACCCCGTGCCTGTCTCAGCTCCCCACCGCCTGTCGGTCTGCGCCACCACCTCGCACCGACCTCTGGCACTTCCCTGCCTGCGTGGGAGTGGCGTTTGGTGAGGGAAGAGTCGTCTTCCTGTGAGTCAGATCTCCCTGCCCGGGAGTGCCTGCCACGGTGCGCGGCTGTCCCGCACTGCCTTTCCCCTTTGTCCCAACTCTCCGGTAATTTGCGAGTATTTTTTGAGTTCACCTGACTCTATCTGCGGGACTGCCTGCCCTCGCTGCCTCTCTGTAGGTTCACGAAGCCAATCCTGCAGGGTAGCGCCTCACTCGCGTGTGGGTGTCCGCGTTTTTCCTCTCCCACTCTGGGAGCAGAGAGCCAGGAGGTCACCCCTAATCGGCCATCTTCCCCGACCTCCCTATCCATCTTTTATTAGTTCTTTGAAACTTCTTTTGCAAGGATATGAAACTACATGATAATTAAACTCATGTGTGGGAATTCACTTTATCAATAGAACCTGGATAACAAAATTTTTCTTAACTTACATTGAGGCAAAAATATTAATGCTTTAACTTCCTACTACTGAAGACATAGGGGAGCAACCTATGGATCCTCCAGGGAGATGTGTTTTGAATGAGGCCATAAACTCTGTTAGCATCCCAACATAGTGAGCAGGAGAATTGGCACTGCACTTTCTCCCTTAGAGACTGGCCAAGTATTGGAGAAGGAGACTCAGAATAGTGTCAATATCAAGGACTAAGTAACAGGAAACATTTGAACTGTAGAAAATCTTAGCAGAGATTAGAGGACATACCAGAAAGATATCAGCTTCTACCTGCATGGGCTTACTCTCATTGTTCCCAAAAAGGTTAAGAGGAAGCAGAATGAATGGACAGGATCTTTCTTGACCTGAAGGTTTGATAAGTTCAGGGGGCTACAGAATGAGAAGATTTTCCCCAGGTAACTTATGTTACTGATAGCCTCCATATTTGCACAACATGAATGCCCTAGAACAGAGGCCTCTTGGCCTTCTTCTATTCATGGGATTTAATTTTTTTTGGTCTTAATATACCAATAACTAAACCTGACTCAAAAAAGTCAGAGCAATAACAAAAGTAACAGTTCTTCTAGGGGACTCAGCAGCACAATCAAAGTAGAGTGGGCAGGACACTAAAGATGCTCATCTGGTGAAACAGAAGTGCTGAAGACTTGGCTACAAAAATAAGAGAGTTTAAGGATATTCAAATACATCACAGACACACACAAACACCCCAAGATACGGTGATTAAAAAAACCCATGATTTTTTCACTTAAAATCTGAGTAGATAAAATCTGAATAGTCACTGATGAGACAGAGATTAGCTTCCCAGAAGATCCAGTGCAAGAAATATCTCAAAGCACTGTGTTAAAATAGATAAACCATAAGACAAAATTAGAGACTTGAGTATAGTTTCAGGAGTCCTAATACAAGAACTATAAAACTTCCAGAAATAGTGCAAATGGAAAAAAAATAATGTGCTAATAAAGGTGAAGCCATAATTAAACAGAAGTAAAAAATCGATCAAGAAAAGATATTCTTACAGGCTTACCAGATTCATTGCCTGCTACTCAAGAGGAAGACAATACACTGAGACAGCAGAGGTTACAGCAGGGAATGAATTTAATATCACAGGTGCCATGTGAGATGGGAGATGGGAGAAAGTTCTCAAATCCCTCTTCCAGAGAATTTGGGAGAAAGAGATTTTAAAGATAGTTTGGTGGGCAAAGGGCTAAGTAATCAGATTTGCTGATTGGCTTGTTTTGGGGTGGAATTATCGGGGGTGTCAAAACTATCTTCTTGTGCTGAGTTATTTCCTGCATGGGGGCCGTGAGACCAGTAAAGTCAGTTCTTTGATACAGGCCACTGGTCTGGGTGGGTCATCTGTTCCACTGGAATACAGGGCCCAGAAGATATCTCAAAAACTATCCTGAGGTTTCACTTAGGTTATCTATGGAAGCAATGAATAAAGCTAAAAATCTTTATGACCATAGCAATATGATTCCTGAGTGCTAAGCAATTGTAGGAAAGCAAACTAGGAAACAATAGTTGGTTACATACATATTTTAACTATGCCTATACCTTTGCAGAGTTCAGGGACCTAACACAGTTCCCACCTGTGGCTCTTTATTAATTTTATACAGGGAGGTTTCAGTATATCAGTTTGTAGATTGAAAGGTTCCCTAAGTTCTAGGCTAGATATGCAACAATGCATATCCTATTCAAAGTATGTTAGGTTGAAAATAAAATATTGTAAACTTCCAGACAGAAATAAAACAACTTATCTAGAAAGGAATATATAGATATGTATGTATATATATCAGATTGGCAAAGTACATTTCTTTTTGCAACACTAGAAGCTAAACAACAGTTGAATAGTATTGATACATTATTCGCAAAATAGGACTTCAGCCCAAATACATTATTTATCTGTCAGAGAAAAAGAAAAATCTTTGAGAGCATAAAAGAATTTGGAGAGTATACATCACCATCATACTCCACACTCGAGAAAAGTATTTGAAAAAAGATTCTAATCAAACATCATATAAAAATAATAAAGGCTTTAAGATAAGAGAATAAGAAGAAAGGAAAGAAGTGACCAATGAACCTGAGACATGCTTATGGAAAGGATAGACTGCACAGAAATGGGGAATATCAAAGTTAAAAAACTTTGAACTGGAAGAAACTATTGTAGAGGAAATTAGTAACTATTCTGTCTTCACAAAAGCAAAGTATTGAGAATGAGAAAGCAAAGAGAGGGAGAGAAATAATGAATTATAATAATACCTACAGAATGAAAACAGGAAGTGTTAAAAGAGAGAAGGATGAGAGTACTGCAAATGGAAATATTGCAAAGATCTATATTATTTGTGTTTGGAGGAAATTGAGGGTAATTTGAGTATTTTTCATGGGCAATCATTTGGGACAGACTGCTTGATTATAAGATCAGGGAAAGTTAATGTAACCATTAATAGATAGAAATTTGCAATTGAAATTACTTTTTAGCAAGGAAAAGAAAATGAAACGAACACCTTGAACAAAGAAGTAAAAACAAATGAATTGAAAATGAAGAAACAAGAAAATATAATAATTAATAAACATGAAGTAAAATAAAATCTAGTATATCATGCATTACATGTAAGTTTAAATGACTAAATCCTTCCATTAGAATGCAGAAACTATCAGATGTAGGTTTAAAAAAATAGTCTTGGCCAACGCGGTGGCTCATCCCTGTAATCCCAGCACGTTGGGAGGATTGCTTGAGCCCAGCATTTAAAGACCACCCTGAGCAAGAGCAAGATTCCATCCCTACAAAAAAAAATAGATAAATTAGCTGGGTGTGGTGGCATGTGCCTGTACTCCCAGCTACTGGGGAGGCTGAAACAAAAGGATTTCTTGAGCCCAGGAGTTTGAGGTTGCAGTGAGCTATGATGACACCAGTGTACCCAGCCTGGGAGACAGAGTGAGACCCTGTCACAACAACAACAACAACAAAAGCCTAGATGATGTTTACAATAAACACATCTAAGCGTGGTGAAAATTAAAGGCCAAAAGTAAGAGATGAACAAATAGATAACAGACATATTCAAACAAAAGGCAAGCAAGAGTGGTGATACTAATATCGGATAAGGTGAAATTTAAGATTGAAGCAATAAACAGGATAAAGGAGAATAATGGGTAAATTTAAAGACAAGCTTATGAAGGAAATATAAGTCATAAATCTATATACACAAAATAAAAGGTAAAGAGACAAAATTTGTAATTAGAAATGGAAGAACTTGCTAACATACAGTTGTATTTGGAATCATGATTACAACTCTCAAAATTGGTTACATGAAATAAAATGATTTGGATGGTTAAAAAATAATTTCAGAAGTTAGATATTTTCTATTTTCAAGAGAAGGTTAAAAAAATAAACAGATCAAGCATAACTAACTAAAGCAAACATGTGATTTGCTTTTATTTATAGCCTTGCATTATATTATTCCAGAAAGGCTAATTTTAGTCTACTTTGAAACAGGCAATATTTAAATTCATAAAATATTTGTTCCCAAAACAATCTTAAGATTTTTTCTTGTTTATATTTTAAAAAGTCACAAACTAATAAAAAGCAAACAATAAGAATTTGTTTATTGCAATATTGCATATTTACAATACTCATGTCACTGATTTCGTGTGAATAATGAAGCATACTATAAGAAAGGTATAGTGGGGGGAGAAAAAATGGTGGAGTTAAGGTAGACTCCCGGATCCCTGCTTCCAGAGAAAGATGTAGATTTCGGTCTGCTACACACGATCAGATCGCTCTCCCGCAGAAACGACGAGGTGAATCGATGGAGATTCAGCGGGGGACACACAAATCAGGAAAAAGAATAAGGTGAACAGGAGATAGGAACACAAAACCTGGAAAGCACGGGACAGACAATAGAGAGTGGAGTGTGAGACGGCTGCGCCAGCCTGGCCAGTAAGGGCACCGGGATAAGACCCTCGAGAGACAGTCTAGCTTCCCCACTGACTTACAAGCCCACTGAGAGTCAGGGCCCTGTGAGAAGTGGATGTAGAATCATGTCAGGAAATGTGGGGCTTGGCAGAGAGGGGACACGAGCAGGGAGCATCTTGAACTCCCCGGAGCAGGGAGCATCTTGAACTCCCCGGAGGTCCATGTCAGGACTGCACCGGACAGGGGAGGAGCTGGTCTGGGCTACCTCTGGAGGCAGTTAGGAGTCAGGAAGCTGGTCTCTGGCACCCAGCGGGTCCTGAACAGGGAGGTGAATACTGAGTAGAAGACTTTAACCTGGAAACTGCTGCTGGCGATTGGGACTGCTCAGGGTGGGCCAGTAGGAGCAAGAGCTATTGCTGGACTGGCATAAGATTGGGCAAGGGAGACATAAAGGAGATGGCAGAGCACCCTGGTGACTCGACTCCCTGATCGGGTACCTCCCAGCCCCTGAGTGGCTCCCTCTGGAGCCAGCGTCCTGAGGGTGGGCGAACTCCAGCTTGGGGCCCACAGGAGGTTGCAGTACGATGCGGAATGGCTCCCTTCCCCCAGCCTGGGAGCTCTCACAACAAGCTCTGCCCTTGCAGGACCTAAAGTCAACTAGCCAGGCCCGTTTCTTTGAGTGGTGAATTCTGAGTGCCTCCTCAGTTGTGAGGGGCAGATGCCTGCAGAAGCTGAAGTTGCTGGGGCGTTGGACAGTCTGGAGAGGCACCCCCTCCCCCTGGCCAGCATCTTTTGTGCAGCCTCTGAGCTTGCAGAAGCAAGACACAAAGAGCCACTCCCCCTCTGCGACAAGTGCCAGTCCCTGGGGCTTTGGCACTGACCAATAGCTGACAGCCCAGTGACTTTCCTTGCCAGACTGGTTTAGGTCATCTGGTATGATTGCATTTCCGTCTCCGGTCGGCTACCAAGAGTGAAACCCTTGGCTATGGAATCAAAATCCTATCAAGAGACCAAAACAAGTTCCCCAAGTAATCCCTCCCATCAAGAGAACCCTGGACAACATACTAGCGGCTCCCTCTAGCGGCAGATAAAGAGAAAATACACAAAACAAAACTGAAAGAAAAGTAACAGCGGATCCAGATGGGAAGGACCCATTGAAAGATTTCTGGAAGTATGAAAAATCAAATGGAAAGCACACCCCCAAAGAGGAACACCAGCTCTCTAGCAATGAACACTAACCAAGTCCAGAATACTAAAATGACAGAAGAAGAATTCCAAACATGGATTGTAAGTAATCTGAATGATATGCAAGGAAAAATGGATAACCACCACAAGGAAACCACAAAAAAAATCCAGTACTAGGAAGAAAAATTCACTAAAAAAATTGAAATATTAAAGAAAAATCAACCCAAACTCCTGGAAATAAAGGACTTATTCAGAGAACTTCAAAACACTGTGGAAAGCCTCAAGAATGGGGTAGATGGAATGGAAGAAAGAATCTCAGAGATTGAAGACAGCTCCTTCCAAATGAATAAGTCAGTCACAGAGATTGAGCAGAAAATAAAGAAAAAAGAAACAAGCTTACAAGAAATGTGGGATTATGTGAAAAAACCAAACCTGCGTGTGATCGGGGTTCCAGAAAGTGAAGAAGAAAACATGCAAGGGCTGGGCAACCTATTCGAAGATTTACTAGAGGATAATTTCCCAGGCCTTACTAAAAATCTAGATATACAGATACAAGAAACGCAGTGGACCCCAGGGAGATTCAGTGCAAATAGAAAGACACCACATCATGCAGTCATGAGATTGACTAAAATATCGACTAAGATGGCCCTACTACAAGCTTTGAGGCAAAAGTAACAAGTAACATACAAAGGAAAGGCTATCATAATAACTCCAGATTTCTCAACTGAAACCCTACAAGCAAGAAGAGCCTGGGGCCCCATTCTCACTTTTCTGAAACAGAATAATGCCCAGCCTAGAATTTTGTACCCTGATAAACTAAGTTTCATATATGAAGGAGAAATAAAGACATTCTCAGATAAACAAAGTCTGTGGGAATTCACTAAGACAAGACCAGCTCTCCAAGAAGTACTCAAAGCTGAATTACACAAGGACCAGCACAATAAACACTCACGAATGTAAAACCACTCAAAAGCTAAAGATCAAAGGCTAGATTCCACAATGGCTCAAGAGAGAAAACAAAGCAACAAAAAGCAACTCAACAGGTTGATGAACAATTTACCTCACTTATCCGTTCTTTCAATAAATGTGAATGGCTTGAACTCACCTCTCAAGAGACATAGGCTGGCCGAATGGATAAAAAAATACAAGCCAGGTATCTGCTGTCTTCAGGAAATGCATCTAACCTGCAAGGATGCATTTAGACTCAAGGTAAAGGGGTGGAAATCAATATTTCAAGCAAACGGAGGCCAAAAGAAGGCTGGTGTAACAGTTTTGATCTCAGATAGCTTGGTTTTTAAATCAACAAAAGTAATGAAAGACAAAGAGGGCCACTATACAATGGTGAAGGGTACAGTTCAACAAGAAGACATAGCAATTCTAAATATGTATGAACCCAACATGGGTGCACCCAGATTCATGTAGCAAACTTTACTTAACCTAAATAATTTGATGAACAGCAACACCATTATAGTCGGAGACTTCAACACCCCACTGACAGCACAGGACAGATCCTCCAAACAGAAAATTAACAAAGAAATTATGCTCTTAAACAGAACCTTAGAACAAATGGGGCTGACTGACATTTACAGGACATTCTATCCAAAAGCCACTGAATATACATTCTTCTCATCAGCTCATGGGACATTCTCTAAGATGGACCATATTCTAGGACACAAAGAATGCCGCAGAAAATTTAAAAAAAATAGAAATTATACCATGCATCTTCTCAGATGACAGTGCAATAAAAATAGAAATCAGAGTGCCGAGCTGGGGAGCTGGGATTAGGAGGCGCCGGTACGCGGATCAATGGGCTGGGAGGTCTAGCCGGAGGAGGTAGCAGCAGCAGCTGTACCCTCTCTCCCCGCCAGGGCTGTGGTTGCGGCGGCGGGGGGATCTCCCTGTTGCCATCTCCGAGCTGCGGAGTGGGGACCCTACTTTCTACCCTGGCCACAGCCACCTCTTCCTCGCCCTCCTTATCGTCCGCCACCTCATCCTCATCGCTGGGCTCCCAGAAGATGGTGGTGTCAGCAGAGATGTGCTGCTTTTGCTTCGATGTGCTCTACTGTCACCTGTATGGATACCAGCAGCCCTGGACCCCCCGGTTCACCAACGAGCCCTACAATCTTAAGACTTCAATAGAGGCCCACGTCACAGCCAGGGGATCCATCGGCCTGAGGTCCCGCTTGCTGGCAGAGGCCTGGGAGAGGTCACGGAGAAGGGGAGAGTGGAGGGGAGCGAGACCCGCTCCAGAGTGCAGGTCTTGGACAGCCTCAGCCCCCAAGCCCAGATTTTCAGCTGAGTGGACCCATTTCAGCCCCTCCAGGCAGCTTTGCACAGAAAGAGTAGACCTTTGAACCTGCTAGCAGCAGTTGTGGAGCCTGAGGGCAGGCTTGCCCAACCCAGCCCCACCCAGTCTCACTCCTCCCACTGAGGGGGAGAATAAGGACACACCTGGAAATCCCAGGGCCCCACCCACCACCCGAGGCACAAGAGGGCCTCTCTAGAGGAATAAGAGCTAGCTACAGGACCAAAAAACAGCACCGCAGCTCGCTCCTCTCTGCAAGTGCCACCTACTGACAAGGAGGTCATCCTGCACAC